AATAAAAGAAGTTTGATTATTATAATTATCCCAACGATGTTTAAGATCAATATTGTTAAAGTTAATAACAAAAACTTCTTTTTGATCAAATTCTGTTATATTTATCTTATGTAAATGAATAAGTGATATATCTTGATGAATACCAAAGTAAGGTACTTGTTCAAAAAATAAAGCAAGTTCTTTTTTTGAATAACGATTATTAAAAAAGCTAATATCGTTAACTTTTTTTTCTAAATCTTCTGGTGAATGTTGTGAATAGATAAATAAAATTTTAGGAAAAATATTTTTAATAATTGAATCAATATAATATATCTTTAAATCATCATTTGAATTGATCTTAATAGGAAAAATTATATTATTAATCTCAGACTAATGTTCAAAAAGTTTTTCTTTAGAAGTATGATATTTTTTAACATTGACAAGAAAAAAAGGTTCTTCTTTTCCAAATGTGAAAGTAATTTTTGGTATAAAATGACATTTGTTTTCAATAAGATTCATTAATAAATCTATTGAAAAAAAATTAATAACAGATATCATATTTTCCTTTGTAAGATATTTGAAGAAGATATTTTCAGCCATTTTGTAGAGTTATAGTAATTTAAATATTAGCCTTTATATAAATGATTTTATTAAAAAAAAAATATTAAATTTTATAAAAATAAAAAAAAAATATTACATGTTGTTTGTTACACTTTATGATTCCTCATGAGGATCAATTATAATTATAAATTTCTTCATGAGGATTTTTAATATATCAGTTGATCGATATAGAAAAACATCTGAACTAATAGATTTGTAGTAAATTTTAATTTTATTGAATAAATAATTTTTGAACATATTCATTATTTTTTATATTAAATTGAATTGAAAATTTTAAAGTGCACCATTGACAGAGTCTATGCTCACAATAATTATCAAAATTCTTTGTTAATTTATCATCAATATTCTTCAATTCTTTGTAAACTTTTAGTTTTTTACAATTTTTAAAAGGACAAACTTCTTTAAAGATACCAC